TTAAAATGTGTATCTTAACCTTCCCTATAACTTTCATATTTAAATTTTTTTTGTAAACCACGAAACAAATGAGATAATGGACTTTACTCTATCGTTGACTCACCCTGTATAAGTTATTATTGACAAAAAATAAACAGTGTTGAGTAGATAGTTATTTGAACGAATTGATAGATTTGTGAACTTTTTTTTTTAAATTAATCATAAATTTTACTTCGAAAAAAATGATGATAAAACAGTGCCTTGAACTTTTGGCTATTTAGTAAACATGTTTAATTTATGTCAATGATACTCGTAGCGATTTTTACCAAGAGACTTTTTTAACGTAGAAAACGTCGTAAATGTATATTTTTTTACTCAGTTGTTTTATACAGGGTTGTTCACCACATAAGACACGAAGTATTGTAGCTAAACGATTAAATTTTTACAAATTGTAAGTTTTGGGTTCGTTGAAGGACTATTATAGCTACAATTTAAAAATATTTTTACAAGATTCAGAGTGTCCCAAATAAATAAAAAATATCAAAGTTGTATTTTTTTAAATGGAACACCCTGTATATTATTACATTTTTAGTTTCTACGATTAAAATAAAGGTAAATTTGATTAAGGTTTATTACACTTAAACCTTCCCGTTTTTGAAATATTTTCAATTTTGTGAAATTGCAGTCAAAATTTTAAGGCTTCATTTCTCCAAGGGTATCAAAGTTTTTAATACTAAATATTTACTGAAGTTTACTTATTGATCAGTTATTGTGTTGCAATAATAAAAATTATGCTACCTTATACAGAGTGTCTAAAATTTTATTTTAAATAATTACTAGCTTTAAACGGCAATAACTTGTTTAATTTAAATGGAACACCCTGTATATTTTATAGGAATCAGATGCACAATTTAATTGTCTATCAAATTGTATTATATCATTTTTTACGTATCTTTTCAAGTTTCCGTAGAAAATGCATTTTCTTGTAATTTAGAACTCATTTATCAATATACCCATGGAATACTGACATTTTAGATTATTTTTAAAGATGTACCAAATTTTTAAAGAGTACAAATACTCATATTGTCGATATAGTTTGTTTATTTCATTAAAAAATAAAAAAAAAACTGTTTAAATATTTGTTAAAGAGGACCAATTAATATGATTCCAGTATTCAAACTACATTAATTGACTGTTTGCGTTGATTAATAATAATTGCTCCAAATACTAAAAAACTGAATTTCGTATGTGTATTAGACAGTGTGGTAAAAAGTAACACCTTAAAAATGATATTTCATTTTTTGACAAATGTTTATTTGTAACAACAAAGACATTCATTTTCATAACTTATTATTATATGGATTTCTGATTCAAATCTACATTTATTTAGAATAATTTATTAACGATTAAGTATGTAATTAATTAGTATTTGGGAAGAAATAATGGTGGTATATTTAATTAATGGTAAACTATTTTATAAAGACTTAAATAGTATTCTTTTTGCATACATATGGGCTAGTTTTATTCTCATTTTACTAAAAACAATAATATTACTAGCCTGTACATTTTGTACATTTGCTGCTATAAAAACAATCTAAAATTTTAATATTCCAGGGGTATATTGATAAATGAGTTCTAAATTATAAGAAAATGTATTTTCTACGAAAACTTGAAGTGATAGATAAAAAATGGTATAATACAATTTGATAGACAATTAAATTGTGCATCTGATTCTCCTAAAATATACAGGGCGTTCCATTTAAATTAAACAAAGTATTGCCGTTTAAAGCTAGAAATAATTTAAAATAAATTTTTAGACACTCTGTATGAGGTAGTATTATTTTTATTATTGCAACACAGTAACTGATCAATAAATAGACTTCAGTAAATATTTAGTATTAAAAACTTTGATACTCTTGGAGAAATGAAGCCTTAAAATTTTTACTGCAGTTTCACAAAATTGAAAATATTTCAAAAATGGTAAGGTTTAAGTGTAATAAACCTCAATCAAATTTACCTTTATTTTAATCGTAGAAACTAAAAATGGAATGATATACAGGGTGTTCCATTTAAAAAAATAAAACTTTGATATTTTTTATTTATTTTGGGCACTCTGTATATTGTAAAAATATTTTTAAATTGTAGCTCTAATAGTCCTTCAACGAACCCAAAACTTACAATTTCTAAAAATCTAATCATTTAGCTACAATACTCCGTGTCGTATGTGGTGAACAACCCTGTATAAGTACGGACGAAAAGTTATAACTTTTCAAACCAGTTAAAAATATGCAGGTCTCTACGAGTAGGAGTCATACTGCCATCAAAGTCAAATTTCTCATGTCAAAAAACTCCCAGACACCAATTTTCATTCACATCTTGACGTTACTTCAGAAATTATTTGAAAAAAAATCGATATAAAAATAAAATTTCAACATCCTGTACCTCCGAAACTAAGGATTTTAGGATATACATTTATACGATCTTTTTTACTTATTATTATTTGCAGAATATGATGCCAAAGTTTCCGGAATACAATTCGGACCACCCTGTTATAGTCTTACTAATGAGAGAATACAGTTTGTCAATTGAAATCACCGCTCTTTGGATATATAGACTTTAGACCACCTATATTAATGAAAACGATGTAACAAAAAAATTGTTACACAAACTACAGGTTTATATGAATTGTGCCTAATTGAAGAATTTTGAATGATACCATATATATTTTCTTTTTATTTTTTATCGATTTCGATCGACTAAAACATTGAAAATAATCTTAACTTTAAACGAAGTAGAAATAAGAAGCGGTCCTATGAAATTACTAAGTATTAACTAATGTCTGCAAAATAAAACACTAGTTACGGATGGATTCTTCCAGGTTCTTGAGTTCCGCTTAAAGTTGGTTTCCACTTGGGAAGCGGAACGGTTCTGGTCCAGTTAGTGCAGTGCTCGCTCCTTTGCTAGTTAGATCGTTAGCTTTTTCATTACTTTCTATCCCTTCGTAGGCTGGCACCCAGAATATAATAGGAATTTATTTTTTTTGCCTAATTTGTTCACCTTCTCTAGGCATTCTTTGACCAACTTCGAATTGATGGTTACTGAGTTGGTCCCTCTTAAGGCTGCTTGGCTAAGCTGTTTACTAACCATTTTATTATAATCAGTAAAAGATTAAAACTCACAGATGACTTCTAATCATCTGCCGATGCTGATAATATTAATCTCTGCTGATGATCAACTACAACAAATCACATTACCGCATTTATAATAAGAAAAAAAATAACAGGATGAAATTGCAAAATTATGATGATGAAATACATATCTTATAGTATCTTTGTCTAAGTTCTAGACTTTAACTTGTAACTAACCTTTAATCGTTAAATCATTCAGGAACATTAAATTTCGTTTAAAGTCCCTTTAAAACCGTACCATTACTTCAAATGGCCGAGTATGTTTTCTCTTCTGTTTAATCTGTCGGCATGATCGCCGCACTTTTTCTAAGACGGCGTATGCAAAACAAAAGCGACGGTCTAATTCACAAACCGTATCATACTTGGAGAGCACAGTTCGCACAATGTCCGCTGGGCGGCGATCGGTATCTATAGAGGAGGCAGTTACGTGTTTAGAATGACGCAAACGAGTTTAATTTCCACTCGGATTTACTATAAACTAGGTATATTTTTCTCAATTATTGTAAAAATATAATATAATGCTTATATTGTCGCGACCTAGTCTTAGGGGGGTTTGAAGCTACTGATCAGCAAATACAAGACGAAACCCAAGACTGGCTTGGTCTTGGTCTTGATCTTGCAGTCTAATAGTAGTCTTGGTCTTGGGTTTGCTGTACCAGTCTTGTAAGTGTTGCACTTTTTTAATGGATTTTTACTAAAGGTACTTTCTACATAGAAAATCTTTAAATAAATAATATTTCAAGTGATTAAATACAAATATGAAAAAACTTTTTGAAGAAAAAAAAAGCAATATTTGTCCGATCAAAACTTTAATTTACTGCTCAAATAAAACCAACCAAACTGAGTAAAGGTTTCAATTCCGTTAATACAATATGGTCAAAACTACACCGTGCGAAAAAAACACTCCTGTTCATTTTTCAATAGGATTTCCGAGGAAGACAACAAGGTTCGCCCACAGCAGCTTCGAAAAATATTCATCCCGTCCCCCAAATTGACTGTATAAATAAACAAATAAATGGTCCATTGTGTGTCCTTCGACGGCAACTGCCACTGAGACCACAAGGTGCCGCCTCCAATGCTGTTATCTATCGCATTCAGTGGCGTTCGTATGTCAATCGATCTCTCTTTAACTCTTGTATATTGAAAAGCATAGTGACATTTTACTGATGTAAGTGATTTCACCAACTGGAATTATATTTTAGAATCATTCTCGACGTGAATTTTGTTGTTTAAAGTTTCAGTTAGTGGAGTGTTAGCTCCTTTTCTAGCTTGATCGTTTGCTTTTTCATTACCTTCTATCCCTTGTTCGGCTGGCACGCAGGGTAGGAAAACTTTATTTTCTTTGGCTTATTTGTACAGCTTCTCCGAAACGTTACTAAAGATTTCAACACTAAAAATAAAGTCAGTCTAAGAAAATATTTTATCCCAAAAATATTTATTAAACCCTTATTAAACCAGAAACTATAAAACTAATCAAACTCAAATCTCGTACAAGACAAACCCGAACTCTCATAGAGCCCGATTTTCATTTCCATTATTATTATATTCCCATCACCGCGGGTCGGGTGTGAAATAATAGAGTCCGGTACGAGCGCGGGCGCTTGGTCTCAGGAAAGTGCAAGTAACGTCGCTCGTAATGAGATTGTCCGATCGCCGCGTGGTGCTCACACCTCCACCCCTTCGAGCTCGTTAGACCGACCGATGAGATAATAAACGCCGGGGAATATGAGCAAGAAGCCGGGTGAGTAGGTTTACATTGGAAATGACAGAAGAATCTCGATTGCTCTCTATCTGACCGCTTCGGTTGGATTTCCTCTTACATATCAATCGGTTTTAAAACGCTCTTCGGCGTCTTCCGATGCCCAGTCGCCATTGCTCTCTATCTAGCCAGAGGTCGTCTTCGAGCTCTCGTTCTTTTAGTTCCTTGCCTATTCCTTCTTCCTTCTCTCCAGCTCTTGCGTTTTCTACCCCTTTTTCGTCGTCCCGCTGCGCTGGTGTCCAGTAGAAGATCTGTTTTGGAAGCCTCTACTCTGACGTTATTTGTACGTGGCCATACCATATTAGTTGTTTCATTCTTATGTCAACAGCTATTGTTCGACTGACCCGCATCATTTATCGAATTCTGTGACTTTATGAACTTTATAAAAGATAGAAACTACATTTTGGATGCGAACATCTCAATCTCGACACTGGCCAATATTTTGACCGATTGGGCATTTAATATGAAAAGGAGAAACGGCCAAGACTATAAGGATTTTACGGTAAAAACTATTAGAAATGTAGCAGCCAAGCTATTAATGGAAATATACCAATAAGTATATAATATTAAATTTAATCCTTTTACTAACACCGAATTTAAAATATCCCGGGAGGCAAAAAGTGCCAAAAGGAAGGAATTGCAGATGGACCCTCTAAAAAGAAAAGAAACCTCTAAGGCACTCAAATACGAAGAATTCAAATTGATGGTACGAAATTGTAATGAAGAATGTCGCGAGGGTTTTTTTAGAATAAGTGGGAGGGGGGTTAATCTCTGCGACCTTAGAGATCTATTGTGTCCCCCTTTCTTGAGTTATAACTCATCATACAGTCCCAGGACTTCCTACGGAGACCCGTGTCCCTCACAGTCGAGGAGCTACGACCCAGACCGGGTAGACGAAACGGTAGCTTGTGTCGCCTGTTGGGTTTAGAGGTAAGAGGTAGGCTCCCGACCCTTGGAGGAGGTGGTAGCTTGTATGCCACTTGCGGAGGATGGTCTCACGCAAGTGTCAGCCACCTCTCCTGTAGTTCTCTTTGGGTTTGGCCCCTTGGAACTTTCATTGTTACTGTTCCCAGTGTCGCTAGGGTGTTTCCCCACAGCTTCACCGGTGATGTTTTTATTACTATTATTACCAGATCTTATAGTGTTCCTATGAGTCGCTAGGGACAGTCGGTCCACTTCTACAGAGCCCCGCATGTAGAAGTAAGGGTAAAATACAATGGGGTGCCCCCCGGTGCCCCCAAGGTTGAGGCTGTCCGTAGCCCCGCCCGGTATCGTTATATGTCTTGGTGCAATTCCCTGGCCACGACACTACAGTCAGGGACAAGACGATGAGTGAGATGCTTCTTAGATCAAGCCAAGTGCTAGAGGGGATTCCTCCCAGCACCTGACCAGGAGCTTCCCCACCAACGACAAGGTCTTGCATCTCCTAGGGGAAGTCGCGATGGTTTACAAAAAAATATATTTTTTTGTATTATCCTACGAATTGGCATGGCGAGAAGGAGAGGGAGGAAAATGTTTTGTTTCCTATTTTAAAGATGATGTTGATAATATAGGACAGCCCACCGGTCGCATTGAATACAAACCGATATTCGATAAAACCACTCAAGGAGGACATAAACCTTGTGCTCCGTCAAAATGGCTGGTTATAAATAGAAGTCAACCGGATATAATGTCCAGTAAGGCTATTTTAAAAAAAAATTATGGAAAAAAGAAAATTAATGTTCCAAAATTGTTTTTAACTGTAAATCCTTCCTGAAAAATGGGTAAATGGTTCAAGAACCTTCCTGTTGGGAAAATGCGATTGCTCAATAGGTGTCTATCGAAGCGAAAATATCAGGTTTGGCTACGGAGAAAGTAAAAATTACTAATCATTCGCTACGTGCAACAGCTGTGTCGACACTAGCAAAGAAGGCGGTTGAGGAGAACACAATAGTCGAAATAACTGGACACACAAACCCGAAGTCAATTAAACATTACCACACATTACCTTCAACTCGATGATGAACATCATGAAAATTTGGTGGAAAAAATGAGAGACAATGAAGCTGCTACAAGTTCTAATAATGATACTATTGTTTTTGTACTTATTATAGGTTTTTTTAATTTCAATTCAAATTCAGCATCCTTAAATTCCACATCTTCAAGTACCGCAACGGAATCTAAACATAATAATTTTTATAACTGTGTTTTTCACTGCAATTCTTCATGTAATTTTTAATTTCTAATATTATAAGTTCTGTTTCATTTTATTGCTTCATTTTTAAATAGATTTTTTTTAATATGTACAAATAAGTGTTTTTAAAAAATCTATGTATTTTCATGATTTTTATTCGGGAAATATTCTACCGAATTACACTCATGCATCAAAATTAACCTGATAATTTTTGATGCAATTTAAGCATGTTGTCAATAAAAAACAGCCACCAAAAAACAACCAGTTTTTAGACAACATGCTTTCATGAAAAATTATGGGTAATTTTGATGCATTAGGGTAATTACTTCCGAAAATTTTTGCTGTAAAATAATTTAAAAAATGACCTGCCTATACGCGCGCTGTCACTATTCTAACTTCCATCAGCTGCTAACTGACGGTGTTCTATAATCGACGAACCTGACTGGTTTTATTAATAAATATATTGTTTCACTCTTTGAATAAAGGAAGGAGCACAATGCTATCCATGTATTCATGCATGGTGGGCGGAAAAAGCACTCTAGGGTGGGGATCCTTGACAGTTCTGTTTGACGATTCATTTGACACATTTGAATTTGATTTGAAATTTTGTGGATTTGTCAGTCTTTACGGAGCTTATTTTATGTTATTTATTATTTATTCTACTACTGATAGTTGTATAAAGGTAGTAAATCTAGATGGAAATTGTGGCAGAACTTAAATTAACAGTGACACTATCGCGATTTATCGAAAAAGACTCTAAAATAGTTGGTTGTGTAGCGTGCGGTAGATCTCGGCAAAAATTGAGTGAAACAATGGAACAACTTTTCGCTAGTAAGTGACTATATAATATACACATACGTGTAGTAAACCGATCATTTATGAAATTCACTTAAATTAACTAAATTATATATTTTTCTTGCATTTTAGCTTTTATTTATTACTTGTCAAAGATTAGATGTCAAAGAATTTAGATACGTTAATTTGACTTACCTGCTTCAGTATAAATACTTAATAATACTCAATAAATACTTATTATAACTTATCTATTTTTATTAGAATTGTATATTTTTATAACAATTTTAATAACTACCAACATTTACTCACAACGTAAAATATAACAACAAATTATTGAGTCTACCCCACGTCTACCCTACATCATAGTTTTACATTTTTTAAATAAAATTAGAACGACACTGATAAACCGGAATTTAAGTCGGCCATATTTGAGGCCCATCGCGGTGTACCTAAGATTTTTGATATGCTCCTTCCTTAGTCTTCTTATTCAAAGGTTTCACTATTACCTTCCAAAGTTTCAGCCTTCAGAAATCACTTTGAGTGGCGACATTTTTTTGACAGCGGGTTTGAGGTAGCGCTGACGCTTTGTGCCCCCATGTGTGACAGTTATATTTTTGTTTTACATTGCATTCGAATGTTATCTACAAATTTTCAGTCTTCAGAAAACAGTTTGGAGGTGTTATTGTTATTAGAATTGCAAATTTGCGCGCTTTTCAGCGCCAGGTGTTCCGGAACCGGAACTGCTGGCTGTACCTTTGCTTTTCAACACTAAAATTAAATCGATTTTAAACATAGATCCTTCAGAAAACTTTTGCATGCTCTTGCACCCGGCTCTCCGACTATTCAACCTTTAAATATTTCAACCTCCAACGGTGTAAACGCAGCTCCCAATATGTATTTTCGTTTACTCTCGCTCCGATCATCGGATTTTTTTTTGTTCGATTTCCTAGAACGCCTTTTAATCTGTCCAAATTGATACCTTATAAAGCAAATAATTAATGGTTCTTAAGTCGGAATGGCTGTTTTTTACCTAGTGTTTTTCCCGCTAAAATCCACACGAATAATGATACTGCATATTAATAGGTAGGATCGGAAAACGGTCATCGTTGTTTTGAGTTATTTTTAGATTGGTACCTTTTTGTACTTGAGTAAATGATGCCAGTACACGGTATAATGTACTAAATCAATTTCATTTATTTACATATGGTAATACTGACATTAAGGAGTTTATAAATAGCTGAAAGTGTCATATTATCTACCTTTACTTTCCTCTGTTATTTATCCTACATTATTAGTTTCCCACATTCCTTAATTCAATAATCAATTCTTCCAATAATTTTCCTAGTTTCTTTCTGTAGCTGTTTTAAGTTCTAGTGAGATACCAATGTTAAGTAGTCTTCATTCTTATCACGTTTTCTGGCAAGATCTTGGCTTTCATTATTACAGAAATTCAAAGAAACTAACGAGAAGTTTGCACATCTATATTTGGATTTTGGAGGTTAGCACGTCAAAGCAAATAATAACACATTTTTTACCATATTTCTATATTTTAAACTACCTATACTACTATATTGCGGAAGAAGAGCAAATCCAAAACTAAAGTGCACCAAAATTTTGGAAACACACAAAGAACTATATGCTATTGAACCATGAGTGCAGATACTGGTAGAAATGGTCTTTGTTTTTAAGGAAAACAAGAAACAAGAAAGTCATACAAACTTTAAACAACAAAATTCACGTCCAGAATGATTCTAAAATATAATTCCTTAGCATATACAACACAATTGTTTAGAATTTTTTTTTTAGAATTCAGAATGAGTGGGAGGGGGGTTAATCACTTCGACCTTACAGATCCATTGTGTCCCCCTTTCTTGAATCATAACTCATCATACAGTCCCAGGGCTTTGACAAAAGCCAGTATCTGGGACGGTTTTATAGAGGGTAGTTCTCCATCTCCAATATCAGTCGTACCAAAATTCATGGCACGAATGGTTGTCGTCTCGGCGCACTCAGTGATGAGGTGTACTGGTGTTTCCCCATCTTCCACACAGAATCTGCATTCGCCGTTTCTTCTTAGTTTCAATTTACTGAGGTGTTCATTGAGGAGCCAGTGTCCTGTTAAAAACCCCGTGACAATCCGAAGATTGTTCTTACTCAGACCCAGAAAGATCTGTGATTTTTCTTGATCATAAGCCCTCAGAAACTTCTTCGAGTGTCTTAGACCATTGCAAGATTTCCATTCCAGGTTTGGAAACATTTTTTGGAAAATTTTTTGAAACCTGC